GTGAGCTTTGTGTCGAAGTTCAGCTCGTTGGTCGGCACTCTCGAACCACCAGAGAGCGTGAACTGGCCGAGAGACAGAGACGGCGTTAAGCACAATGTGAGCTTTGTGTCGAAGTTCAGCTCGCTGGTTGGCACTCTCGAACCACCAGAGGGCGTGAACTGGCCGACAGACAGAGACGGCGTTAAGCACAGTGGTCCCTGTGTGAGACACTGCACAGACAAACTGCTGAGAAACCCTGGCATCGACTTTAGACAGTGGACACTGACAGTAAACACTGAGTGAGGGGAGCGGACACTGGATAGTGTAACTGGTGCCAGCGTCGGACTGTAACTGGCAGCCCAGAGAAACCTGCCTGTGTTCTTATCGCATTATTTTTTTTACAGGTTACCTGTGTTCATCTGGCCAAACTCGTTGTGGAACGCTCCCACCAGTTTGCCGTACCCTGGTGCATCATGGGAGGTGGCTGCAGCCTGGAAGGCATCACCCCAAACTGCCGGACCACCAGGACGCATCTGGAAGGAAACCAGCTCGTACACACCTGAAACACACACCTGGTGTTATAATGCAGTCGTGATGTCATTAGTGCTTAGAGTGTGGCAGCAGGGCTTACCGCCCTCCTGTGGCGGCCTCTGCAGGTGGCTCCAGGGAACCAGGTAGGTGACCTCGTTGTCCTGAGATGTGAGCATTGGCATCGCCTTGGAAGTGTATTCTGAGATCCAGGAGGGGTCCTGAGCCAGGGCAGCCCGGACCGCTGCCCGCTGAGAGTAACTGTCTGAGGGGGCAGGTACACTCTAAAATCACATAAAGAAGAACTAACTTCACACAGAAGAGGAACGTACTTACCATATTCCCATATATGGAAGACCTGGTTCAGGCCGCCATACTCGACACTCCAGTAGCCAATCAGCTTGGAGTGGGTGGTGCGCAGGTGGATCTTCTCATTGGTCAGCTTGTGGAAGGCGGCGTTCTGGTCTGGACGAATGCAGTAGGTACGGAACTCGTAGAAGGTTCGGTGTTTCTGCTGGTGGCCGGTGGAGAGGTGCACACAGGGCTGCAGAGAGGAGGACAGAAATAGAGGTCTCACTCTGGTAGAAAAACAATGGCTGAACACGGACAAGGATCATCCTTGTCATTACAGTAAACTCCATGTTCTTATTTATTCTTATTTCACTCAGAGTTTGACTTTCTCCTTGTATAGTTCACAATGTTTTGCTTTTCAATTTACAGCTTTTGAATCTGCTCATACTTCATAGAAGTGATTTGGACATAATTCAGTCCTGGAGCTGCCACGCTCCAGTTATTGGGGTTTCATTATACTTTGTTCCTTTAGTTGTGGCCACAACTTACTGATGTTCTTTTTTTTACCCAATGTCACCAGAGGAGCTCCGTAAATTGGAAGTTATTTGTGTGGGGGGAAAAGCCAAAAACAGGCCCACTTAGTAGCTTTATGAACATCACAGTACTATTACAACATTAAAAC